ACATCATCCTTGTACTTGGCAATAGTTGGCCTATAGCTTCTCTTGCACCTGCCTATGGATGTCTTGAAGTTGCTCGGCCAAACCTCTGCATCATCACTATCTCATTCTTTTTAAGGAAGGGAAACCAGGTCAAGCACTTTGCTTGGCTGCTGACCATACATGACCTCAAAAGGGAACCTTCCAGTTGACCTACTAACAATATTGTTGTATGTGAACTCAGCTTGGGATAGGACCTGATCCCCACTTCCTGGGCTTGTCCCCAATGAGACTTTGAAGGAGATTTCCCAAGCTTTGGTTCACCACAGCTACATCATCACCAAGTCCACCGCATGGTACTCTTGTCTCTCATCGGTGTTGGTCAACGTCATCCTTGCACTTGGCATACTTGGCCTATAGCTTCTCTTGCACCTGCCTATGGATGTCTTGAAGTTGCTCGGCCAGAGCCTCTGCATCATCACTAGCTCATTCTTTTAAAGGATTGGAAACCAGGTCAAGCACTTTGCTTGGCTGCTGACCATACACGACCTCAAAAGGGGACCTTCTAGTCGACTTATTGACAACTTCGTACGCTGTATGCAAACTCAGCTTCAGATAGGACCTGATCCCACTTACAGGCCCTGTCCCCAATGAGATTTTGAAGGAGATTTTCCAAGCTTTGGTTCACCACCTTAGTTTGTCTTTGTGGTTGGTAATCACTGTTGTACTGAAGCTTCGTGCCTAGCTTCATCCACAGAGTGGGCCAAAAGCGATTCATGAAGCACGTATCCTGATCAAAGGTGATAGTTTTGAGACTCCATAGAGGTGAATGACTTCCTTGGATCAACCACATGAGTTGCCTCGAGTATGGGCATTCCTACATTGGATGAAGTGCGTCATCTCCGAAAACCAATCCACCACAACAAAGATGGAGTCCTAACATCTAGCAGTGCAATGGAGTCCTACCACAAAATCCATGCTAATGTTGTCTATCCAAGGGTTGGATGGGATGGGCAGAAGGGTGTATAAACTTGTGTTTTGGGACTAGCCTTGGCGAACTGGTACATTTGACACCTCTCCACTAGGGGTGGCAACGGGTCGGGTTGGGTCGGGTCGGGTCGGGTTGGGACTGGGTCAGGTCCTGCTAGACCTGGGCCCGAATAATATTCGGGTCCAGATTTTGGACCCATACACAAACTCAAGGTCAGGTCTAGCTGTCGGGTCTCGAGTCTAGTCAGATCCATTGAGCTTCTTTTTTATTTTGCCTTTTTTTTACCATCATATACCCACATTATTGGCAACATGTACAAGATTGCACAACATTTATGAATACCCACATATAGCATATATCTACATTCCTTATTGGTTTATGTAATAACTGGAAATTCTTAAGAAACAAACATATTGGAAACATTTATGAATACCCACATATTACCCATATTATTTGGGTCAAGTTCGGCAGGAGGTCCAAAATTTGGACCCATACCTAAACCCAAGGTTGGGTCTACCTGTCGGGTCCCAGGTCTAGTCGGGTCCATTGCCACCCCTACTCTCCACAAACCGGCTGACATCTTGTTTAAGTCTAGGCCAACATTACTTCATTTCTACACCCACAATTGTCTAATCTCGCCTGTAGTGGCCAATGAGGCCTCCACCATTCATTTCAGTGATCGTCTTGATGCGAAGCCACCGTTTTAGAATGCACTCCCTAAGAAAAGAAAGCCATCCTGCAATATAAAGTCAAAGGTCCCTTCCCTCCCCAACACATTCGGCCCAGTAGCATATAGTTATGGCAAGATCTCAGATCCAACCACTGAAGATGAAAGGTCTCCCAGTAAATAGGCTCTACAGCTCAAAGCGTCATCCATTGTGTTTTGGTTGCCGACCTTGCGTCGAATAACAAAGTTGAATTCCTATACGTACGAAATCCACTTGGCATGACACCTACTGAGATTTTTCTAAGCATTCAAGAACCTCAATGCCTCATGATCTAAGAACATAATGAACTCTCATACAATGTCATAGAGCCTGCATAATGGCATAGAACTCCACATAATAGATGGAATATCGAGTCTAGGTTTCATTTGATTTCTCACCTTAGAAGGCTATTAGTTTGATTTCTTGGCTAGGGACAGACATAATGCCCACATGAGAGGGAATCAATGTCCACTTGATAAGACCTAAAATCCAGTAATGCTACCAAAGGGGCAATAGTAATCTTCGTTTTGATGAGTTTGAAGATCTCTTTGGCGGCCTTAGTCCATTGAATGGTGCTTATCTTTATATAGTTAGTTATAGGCGTGATCATCATCATCATTGTCAAAGCCTTTTCCCAACTAATTGGAGTCGGCTACACGATTCCTGATTGGTCATTCTACTTTATTAAGGGCCATACCCATAGTGAGCCCATAAGTTCCCATATATCTTCTCGCTACTTCCAACTACGTCCTTTTGGGCCTACCCCCTGCCCATTTTGAGGCTTCAACTTGAACTAACTCGCACCTCCTAACAGGTACTGTATTGGGTTGCACCACATAGCTAACTCGCACCTCCTAACAGGTACTGTATTGGGTTGCACCGCATAGCCAACCCATCCAAATCTACTTACTCTCATCTTATCACCTATTGGTGCTATACCTAAATTCTTCTGAATGTATTCACTTGGAATTGTATCCCTTCCTGTCATGACAGCCATCCATCTTAACACCCTCATCTCAACTACACTCATTCTATGGGTATGTTGTTTCTTGACCGTCCAATATTCCGCCCCAAAAAGTAACGCTGGTCTCACAGTTGTCCTATAGAACTTGCCCTTCAGCTTCATTGGTATGTGGCGATCACATAAAACTCCGGTTGCATATCTCCATTTCGCCCGCCCAACTTTAATTCTATTTGCGACAATAAAATAATAATAATAAGACTCAAAGAACGATAACCGGAAGAGAAATAATAGAAACAACTTAATAAAAAGGGGATGGGAACAAGGATAACTCAATATTCGCCTTGAAATGTGTATGGATATGCCAATCTAATTCCTTCCCATTGAAAATAAGTTACTATAGCAAACAAAGTTCACATCAAATTAAAAGATCCAATACACTAGAATAGAATTAGGAGCCTTTGTGTCATTCCACATGCCTCTCACACAAATTTTGAATTTCTCATGTAGTTTCCCGTCGTTCATGTAATTGGTCATTGGGGCGACAACAGTGCTACACTCTTGGTAAATATCCTCCAAAAGGTAGTGAGACCATGGAAGCTTCCAACTTCCCCTATGGCCATCAGGGTGTCTGCCACTCTACAATAACTTGCACCTTGGCTTGGTCCAGCTTAACCTCTTCTACCGACACCACAAATCCCAAGAATATCAAGCTATCCATTATAAATGAGCAATTCTCCACATTTACAAACAGTTTCTCCTTTCACAAAACCTCGAAAATTTGCCTCAAATGGCCCAAGTATTGTTCGGCAGTGAAGCTGTAAACAAGGATGGCATCAAAATGCACTACTACAAACTTTCCAAAAAAGGGCCGCCGATGCACTTGGTTCATCACCCTCATGAAGGTGCTTAGGGCATTGGACAATCCAAATAACATGACGAGCCAGTCATATAACCCTTTCCGAGTCTTGAATGCGACCTACTAATCGCCACGACGTGAAATTTAAATGGTGATACCTGCTCCGTAATCTTAGAAAAGACCCTCAGGTCAACTAGCATATCAAGCTTGTCCCCCAACTCAGAGATTTCCTTCTTGCCTCTTCGCAAGCAAATAGCATGTAATTGCTGCCACCAAATCAGGGCATGCCCCTTCATCCAGGTGGCGACAAACTTCACCTTCTTCCGCTCAGGTAGCTCCTTCCACTCAAACACATCTCGATGCTGGCAAGCCAATCTGAGAGACCATCTAATTCCAACTACAGAATTCAGGCACATCTACCGAGGCTCACACTAGACACTTTTCAAGGGGCCCGTTGGGGTCCCTCCCTTGGTTATCGAAAGGGTTCTCTTCTCCAAGGTCCAATTAATCACTCTCATGGACAACCAAACCCCACTCGGAATGAGCTTGGTGTACCTCCTCCTGTGCCAATTCCTCAAATTGCCTCAACACATAGTCAAAATCCTCCCTCATACGCCCAAAACTACCACCACAGCTACGGCCTCCATGAGCTCCTCTAGTGGCCATCCTGCACAGTTGCACTGGCCAAGGTGCTGTGGGAGCTGACGTGCTCTGATGCTAGTTGATGGAGGAAAGTGTCAAGCAAAGGGGAGACAAAAGAAATATGCTAATGGATTAAAACACTATAGGAGCTTAAAAGCCATGCTCCAAAGTCACACATCTAAATAAATAGGAAACCCTAAGGATAGAACTCAAAAGCTCCCCTCACTATTACATAACTATTTAGAGTCTTCAACCTAACAAAAGCACAAACTGGACTGCCTGTTACAAAATTTAAATCAGAACTGTAAACAGAAAGCTCAAAAAAAAAGAAGCAAGAAATGACGGTCTAGTCCAAATTGCCCAAAAGATGAAACTACTGCTGATTTCGCGGTTCGCAATTTGAAGGCCATTTTTGGGCCTTTTTTTTTTAACAAAATCAGTTGCGGCAACTAGTGAAGAAAATTGGGACGTCTCAGAGCTCTGAAAGAACTTTCAGTAGAGCACTAATATGCCCTATTCCGAGCAATGAACACAGGTTTTCAACGTTGAAGGTATGCTGCTCACAAAACTGCATACGTCATGAGAATTTCTGAGCCCAGAAATGGGAGGGTGACCTGTTTGACCTGCCGGTCAATCACATCCTTGATATGCAGTTCTTCTTTTTTGGGGTCTAAGTTAGCAAGACTTTACTTCTAGACATTTGGTCCTGACCTTGATGCCTCTCCCACCACAAGGTCAAACCCCACCTTCATATGTAATTTCATCATATATCATTCAAAAAAAAATCATCAAATAACATTTATGTGTAAAAGAAAATATTTACTAGACAAAACAAAATATTTATAAAGGAAATACAGCATGTAC